CCCCCCCTTCCCCCCCCAACCCGCGCTCAGCCGCGGAACTTACCGTTGCCGCCGCTGTGCTCCTCGCCGACATCCCCCCACCCTTCCTCAAACAATAGTTTAGAAAAAAACAAAGTAGCCACTTGATAATTGGAGCAGTAAAACTGACACTCAATGGTATTTTTCATGTTACTGTGTACTAAGAAGGGAAAATTTTCCTTCCATGCTTAAAGAGCTTGAGCATGGTTGGAGTTCAGAACTGAAAGTAACTAGTCTCCTCAGAAAGAGATGTGGAGCAGGTAGTTGTAGTCTGAACTATGCTGTATCAGAGCTGGCCATACCTGGAAGCACTTGCACTGCAGCTGAACAGCTGCAGAGACTGCCACAGAGCTCACATACCCCCATTGTCTTCTTTCCATGACTACCTGAGCAGAAGAGAGTCCAATTTACACAATAGGGAGCGCCTGGTGCTCTGGGAGCTTCCAGTACATTTGCTGTACATTTGCATCTATCTCTTATTGAGATGTGTTGAAGAGTTGTGTAAAAATAATTTACCCTTTCTTTTGGCTTCTCTCTTCATTTTGTATATCTAAGATGAGGGGACAGCTTGGGATATGTTCATTTCACACCTTTTGAAATTACAGTAATATAGTGCTTTTGCAGATAAAGAAGACAAGCAAATCAGTTCACCAGTTCACCACCAGTAACAAAACTAAAACATTTTGTTTGTGATATCCTGGATTCTGGTTGAAGTTGGGTTATACCATATATGGCAATTCTTGTCCAATTTTTGCAAAACCACCCATTAGTAGGCTTTTATCAAGAGCTTCCTTTAATGCATCTGAAAATGCCTTTGTTTTCATAGTATATACATTCTCATAGCATTACACTCCTTGGATCTGGATGTTTGGAAAAGAACATAAAAAAAATAGATTTTTTTTTTTTTTGCAAGTTCTATGGTACTAATTTTTTCTGAATGAACAAGAAATGCTGTAAAGCTGTTGTTGTAGCAGTGCTGTTGCTGCTTAGGAAGAAATCAGGAAGTACAAAAATTCACAGGAATTAAGAATAAATGAAGATCAAAGGTAGCCAAGCTGTTTGAATGTCTTATAAAAAGAACACTTCAGATTTTGTTTCAATTCTGGTCAAAAATTCAAATAAGATTGTTTTATTTGAATGAATGGCCCCTCTTTTTCATACACACTGATGCACGTTTATCATCTCCCTACAACCTGGGGAGCAGCTTTGTCCTCCTCCTTCCATCAGTCCCTTTCCTTCTTGCCCGCTCTGAAAATTAGCTGTATAGTAATACAGAGCTGGCACCTCTGAGAACTCAGAATTGAAACTTTTCCTTCAGATTGTTTTTGTATTTTAAATGCGTCATCCTCATG